AGCAGCGTTTTTGCTACAATAGATTTCTGCTGAAATGCATTGTAGTGTGTTTTTTGCCACATTTTGCATTCTGCAGTTTTATTCTGCCCAGCAGAAAAAAAAAAAATCTACTTGAAAAAAAAAAGAGGTGAACAAACGCGTCAAAAACACGTGTAGAAAAACGCAAAACAAACTGCGAAAAGCACTGCAAAACGGACAAAAAGCAAACTGCCTAGGTGTGAACGGAGCCTTATTGTAAGAATGACATTGGCTGGGGAGGGATTAACATCTAGGGCAATCAAGGGGTTAAATGTGTGTCTAACAATGCATATTGTTTTTACTAGGACATCTCTTTGTTTCTCATCCTGGCTTTGCAGGGGGAAGAAACAGAGAGATCGTTCCCTCTGTACAGAGCTCCATGTTGCGTTGTCAACAAAGGGCTCTGGGCTGTGATTGGACACAGCCAATCAGCAGCTCCTGGCCTTGATGACAGATTCCCGCTGTGTACAATCACAGGGGGTGTCGCCTGGGGGTGGCGCATTCATCTACCATATATAAGGAACCAGGCAGTGACATCCGTTTTCTTGGACGAGCCACCTGTCCGCAGTTGATTGTAGGAGGGCGGTCCTTGAGTGGTTAACAACGAAAAAAAAACAGTATGTATAAAGTAACAGTAGTAGAAATTTCCAGCAGAATGCCGAGCCGGGGATACAATTCCTGATATGACAGCATTATAGCTGCAAAGCATTATCTATATTCAGCTCATATTGTTCTGTATTAGGTGGAATGATATATACAGGTGTTTACATATCATCATCATATATGTGGGGAAGGATTCCCCAGTGAGTCCATAACGACAGCCTGATATAATATGGTAGGATAAAAAAAAAAATTGCTGAAGAATGCCGAGCCGGGGATACAATTCCTGATATGACAACATTACAGCTTCAGGTTGTTATTTATAGTATATTCGGCTCATACTATTCTATTGGGTGGAATGATATATACAGGTACAAATGTACTGTGAATGTGTGAAGGATTCTCCTGGGAGCCATACAGATAGTCTGCTATAATGTGCTAGGACTCAGAATATGTATACATTGTATGGGAAATAGAAATAATGTACATACTATAGACACGCACACACGCAGAGACAGACAGATAGATAAACAGACCGATGGATGGATTGACAGACAGACAGACACAGAAAGATAGATATAGACAGACTGAAAGACAGATAGATAGACAGACAGACAGAGACAGACAGATCGATAGAGACAGATAGACAGACAGACAGACAGACAGACAGACAGATAATAGATAGATAGATAGATAGATAGATAGATAGATAGATAGATAGATAGATAGATAATAGATAGATAGATAGATAGATAGATAGATAATAGATAGATAGATAGATAGATAGATAGATAGATAGATAGATAGATAGATAGATAGAAAATAGATAGATAGATAGATAGATAGATAGATAGATAGATAGATAATAGATAGATAGATAGATAGATAGATAGATAGATAGATAGATAGATAGATAGATAGATAGATAGATAATAGATAGATAGATAGATAGATAGATAGATAGATAGATAGATAGATAGATAGATAGATAGATAGATAGATAGATAGATAATAGATAATAGATAGATAGATAATAGATAATAGATAGATAGATAGATAGATAGATAGATAGATAGATAGATAGATAGATAGATAGAGATAGATAGATAGATAGATAGATAGATAGATAGATAGATAGATAGATAGATAGATAGATAGATAGATAGATAGATAGATAGATAGATAGATAGATAGATAGATAGATAGATAGATAGATAGATAGATAGATAGATAGATAGATAGATAGATAGATAGATAATAGATAGATAGATAGATAGATAGATAGATAGATAGATAGATAGATAGATAGATAGATAGATAGATAGATAGATAGATAGATAGATAGATAGATAGATAGATAGATAGATAGATAGATAGATAGATAGATAGATAGATAATAGATAGATAGATAGATAGATAGATAGATAGATAGATAGATAGATAATAGATAGATAGATAGATAGATAGATAGATAGATAGATAGATAGATAGATAGATAGATAGATAGATAGATAGATAGATAGATAGATAATAGATAGATAGATAGATAGATAGATAGATAGATAGATAGATAGATAGATAGATAGATAGATAGATAGATAATGATAGATAGATAGATAGATAGATAGATAGAGACACACAGACAAACAGATAGATCAATAGACGGACAGACTTCCTTCCTAAGTAAACAATATTGATCCCCTGTGTATGAATGTGTCTGTTGTTCAGGATACGAGTCAGATCCGTATAGCTTGTCCCTCCTGGAGCAATATGGAGACGCCATCATCAGGCTGTACCAACCATTAGACCGTCCAATCGCAGAGAGTGACTTCTACACATCCTTCCATCACAGCAGGACTGGCGGTGAGTGATCTTTAGATTTCTGTATTTAGGGCCCATTTCCGATCATTTGGTGCATTACGACGTACTGAGGCTCTGAGGGGGGGGGTCTCCCCTCGAAACGCGTAAGCCTATTGGGCTTTGAAGGGTTCTTCTCACGTCATCGGTCAAGCATTGTGGATCAGGAGACGGTCGTTTCTTGGTACTTTGATATGCCTGTTGAAATCGCACTGCAAATCGGAAGAAATCGTTGAAAATCTTCACAAGTAGCAGTCGCCGGTCACACCGCTGCAATTTAAAATCGCGTGATTTGTGTGAAGACTTTATTGCTGCTTGTGAAGATTCTCAAGGATTTCTTGCGATTTGCAGTGCGGTTTCCATTATATTCTATGTATGCGAAATCGCAACAAAACTGCAGAAAAAGTCACGTGAGAACTACTTTAGAAATCGCGCCGCAGCAAATCGCACATGTTAGGACGCTGACATTCACATCCATTGGATGCAATTTCAGGTGCGATTTCAATTAACAAATCGCATCGGTATGACCGGGCACTACAGTCTTCAGAAATCACACCTGAAATTGCACACAAATTGCGTGATTTTAAATTGCAGCAGTGTGACCGGTGACAAACAAAAAACCGCTCTTAGCCCCCGGTCACATCAAAGCCGATTTTGAAATCATGAGACTTACAGTGAAGTCGCACAATTTCAAAATCGGGCGTATGTTTAGACATTCACATTCACATTCCTTAGATCCAATTTCAGGCGCGATTTCAATTCCCAAATCGCACCTGAAATCGCGGCGGTGTGAACCAGGGCTTAAAGGGACAGCCGAGTGTTGAGCAGGGCGGACTGACCATTTGGAAACTCGGGCAGTGCCCGAGGGCCCGGGGTCAGTAGGGGGCCCCATGAGATGCCCCTGGTACCTTTTTCATAGGCTTTTTTGAGTTTGGGCAAGGACACAGGGGCCCCATGATCCCCTATTGCCCGGGGGCCCCATGAGTTGTCAGTCTACCCCTGGTGTTGAGTTTGTATTTTCTTCACTGATCACATTCAGGAATAAAAAATAATAATAATAACTTCTGGCAAATATGAATAATTGGATAAGCAGATTTTCCCATATTTATGGCTTCATGTCCAGACGGGGGAGCCTTTGGCTGCTTTACACACCGGGCTAACTTTAACTGCTTTGCTGAAAACATGTTGTTGACAGAAATCAGTAGCTCAGATTACACACACAGCTGAATCGGCGGCGTGACACCTTCCCCTTCTCACTGCTTTCTCAGCCTGGGCCTTGCAGACTTTCAGGCAGGCTCCATACACATTGGACGGTTTGATAACGCTGGTAACATTAGCTGTGTAAAGTCAAGTTAAAAACTGGAGTTTTTCAGCTTTTTTTAGCATTTTTGTATTAGCGTTTTGCCATGTTTAGCGAAATTTTCCCACGTTTTTCTGCATTTGCATTTTTTTAGCATTTTTAGTGGGTTTTTTTTAGTCAAAAAAAGTCCAAAAATGCTGGTTTGTGGTGTTTTAACCTACTAAGTCCCAAGGCACATGGGACGTTTTTTACAGCAGCCGTTTTTGGTTTTTTTTTGACATTTCATTCAGTGAAAGGGGAAACAGTGGAGCGCTCAGCTGCTTTCAGTAAAAAAGGAAACAGTGGAGTGCTCAGCTGCTTTCCACACTGGACTCATTTTAGCTGCTTTGCTGAAAACATCCTGAGTAGCTCAGATTACACACACAGCTGAGTCAGAGCCTTGACACCTCCCCCTTCTTGCTGTCTTCTCAGGCTGGGCCTTGCAGATCTTCAGTTAGAATGATATCGTTTTGAAAAGAAACTTTGTCAGTGAATATTTCATATTTATTATGTGCTGGTCACTCGGGGGCAGGCCTCAGCTCCAGAGTTATTAATAATACTCTTTCATTTGTTCTTGCAGATATGGATACACAGATGACTCCGCCCCCGCAGAGCCAGACAGAGCCTTACAGCTCTAGGTAATGTCCAATAAGTCATCCCACAGCATCTGAGGTGTCCCAAGACTGAATACACTGGGCTGCTGGTGCAGACCCAGGAGGGGCAATAAAGGGTAACTCCGGATAGGAAAACCCGCAGGAGCAATCTGCAGGAACAATGGATTGCATTAACAATCTGTTTTTTCCTGGTTGGAGCAATAAAGTGTATCTAAACCCAAGAACTAAAATATATTGCAGATTACCAGTCCTTACCCCCGGGTCACATCTGTGGGGCCGTGCAGGCCGCGATTTGCATGGGCATGAGAGGCCATTCATTTGCATGGACTCCCGTGCCCCGGGACACGCAGGGAAGAAGTCCCTGCACTACTTGGGAAATTGCAGCCCACATGGGAACCGAGGTTCCCAGTATGGTTGCGATTTCCAGTGCGGGCGACGTGCCATTAGAATTAATGGCACCCGCCCGCGGGTCCCGCATTCCTCTGTGTGGGTGGTGCGGCTGCAGGTATTTGTACGGGTCCCGCATTCCCTTGTGTAGGTGGTGCAGCTGCAGGTATTTGTGCGGATCCCGCATTCCTGTGTGTGGGTGGTGCGGCTGCAGGTATTTTTGCGGGTCCCCCATTCCTGTGTGTGGGTGGTGCGGCTGCAGGTATTTGTGCGGGTCCCCCATTCCGCTGTGTGAGTGGTGCGGCTGCAGGTATTTGTGCGGGTCCCCCATTCCTCTGTGTGGGTGGTGCGGCTGCAGGTATTTGTGCGGGTCCCCCATTCTTCTGTGTGGGTGGTGCGGCTGCAGGTATTTGTGCGGGTCCCCCATTCCTCTGTGTGGGTGGTGCGGCTGCAGGTATTTGTGCGGGTCCCTCATTCCCATGTGTGGGTGGTGCGGCTGCAGGTATTTGTGCGGGTCCCGCATTCCTGTGTGTGGGTGGTGCGGCTGCAGGTATTTGTGGGGGTCCCACATTCCTCTGTGTGGGTGGTGCGGCTGCAGGTATTTGTGCGGGTCCCGCATTCCCGTGTGTAGGTGATGCAGCTGCAGGTATTTGTGTGGGTCCCGCATTCCTCTGTGTGGGTGGTGCGGCTGCAGGTATGTGTGCAGGTCCCGCATTCCCCTGTGTAGGGGGTGCAGCTGCAGGTATTTGTGCGGGTCCCCCATTCCTCTGTGTGGGTGGTGCGGATGCAGGTATTTGTGCGGGTCCCCCATTCCTCTGTGTGGGTGGTGCGGCTGCAAGTATTTGTGCGGGTCTTGCAGTGGCACCACCCGCACAGATGTGAACCAAGTGTCAGATGTGGGGGCTTCATTAGGTATTATCTGGTGATCCTGCCAGTAACACACTTCATGTCCAAGGGTGACAACGCTCACTGTATTGTATCTATGGAGGAGCAGCGTTGTCACCCTAGGGCAGGACTACAGAACACCTACTTACAGTAAAGGCAGAAACTTCCACATAGCACTGATTCTGGAAAATTTCTGCAAATGTTGGACCGGTCTCGGGGTCTAGAGGACAGAAGCTGGTGAGAACCTGCATCAAGGTTTACTAATATCCTAACAAGTTTTTAAAGTTGACCTGGACTGGATATTTGGAAACACTTTTGGCTCCCTTTGAGCTCTATGGGGCCCCTCCATAGCACCATAGGCTGTGCGCAATCCATATATGATGCCTGCTGTAGAAACATTTATGTGTAACTAAAATATCTTTTTTTTTTTCTGGCTATCTTGGGGAGGGTTGGAGCCTCTGGCGGGGTTATACTGCCATCTGCGGTCATAGTGGAGATTTTATTCTCTCTTTCTGTCCTGATCAGGGGCGGACTGACAACTCATGGGGCCCCCCCAGGCAATAGGGGATCATGGGGGCCCCTGTGTCCTTGCCCAAACTCAAACAAGCCTATGAAAAAGGTACCAGGGGCATCTCATGTAGCCCCCTACTGACCCCAGGCCCTTGGGCAGTGCCCAAGTTTCCAAATGGTCAGTCCGCCCCTGGTCCTGATGCAACTAAAACAGGAAGTGAAGGCAAACCTCCCAATAGAGGGCTGTAAGACCCTGATAGGGGTTACGGATCCTTAGCCCATCCCTTTCTTTGTTCAAAACCAAGAAAAAATGTTGTGTTCCATTTCAGGCCCCATTCACACCAGCGTAGCAGGTTACTGGGCTTCACATACATGCGCATGTTGTACTTCATGTAAAAACGTGGCAAAAATGCACATGTACTTTTCTGTGCTTTCAGTACCATGTGTTCTTGCGTGTGTTTGCCCGCACAAGAACGCACTTCTCATGTGCCAATAAATGGCGACACAAGTGCAACAATCGTAACACATTTCATGCAGGCACAAAAAAAACTGCACAATATGCAAGTAGTTATGCTACACTAGTGGGTATGCCCATATGGAAGAGAAATATATTTGAAATATATTTTAAAAATATCCTTCCCTAAATATATTGACATATATTTGAAATACTAAAATTTTGGCCATATCCAATATATTTCAATAAATTACATATATATATATTTATATTATTATATATATATATATATATATATATATATATATATATATATATATATATACTGTATGTTGTAATGCATTTTTATTACAAAATATATGAAAAATGTTTTTAAAAATACATTGTCAAATATACTGTATGTCTTTAAAAAAACAAATCTACATTTTTGAAATGCATTTACAAACATATGTAACAATATATGTTAAAATGCCTTTTTTTTTATATGTTAAAAAATATCTGAAGAATATATTTTTAAAAATATATTTTTTTTAAAATATATTCTTAGAATTTTTTTTTACATATAAAAAAGTCATTTTAACATATATTATGTTAAAGTACTAAGTCGAAAGAGCAGGGCCCTCGAACCCCTAGTGTATTGTATTGTTACTGTATTGTCTCATGTACTGTCCCCCCACTTTATTGTACAGCGCTGAGCAAACCTATTGGCGCTATATAAACACTATATAATAATAATAATAATCTTTCAATTAAAAAATACAAAGAATCTGGTTTATTGTACTATTTGAATGCAGCAAATGGACTGATACCCAAGTATTGAGGAGACAGGAGGTGCCGAAAATAAAAGACTGAGTGGATAGGGTGGATCAAATATGTAAATTGGAGGAACTTTATCATTTGAATGAAGATAAGATGGAGAGTCACCATCAGGGGTGGACTGACCATTTGAGCACTCGGGCACTGCCAGAGGGCCTTGGGTCAGTAGGGGGCCCCATGAGATGCCCCTGGTACCTTTTATAGGCTTTTTTGGGTGTGGTTTGGGTGTGGGCAAGGACACAGGGGCCCTATGATCCCTTATTGCCCGGGGGCCCCATGAGTTGTCAGTCCGCCCCTGGTCACCCTACAAGATGGAACAAATGGGAGGAATTCAAAAAGTCAAGGCTAACCTTAGAGCAGTTGTTCTCAACCTGTGGGTCGCGACCCCTTTGGGGGTCCAATGACCCTTTCACAGGGGTCGCCTAAGACCATCAGAAAAACACATATTTCCAATGTGTAAAGAGCAGCTACTGTGTAGAAAGCAACTACTGTGGTGAAAGCAGCTACTGTGTTGAAAGCAGCTACTGTGTTGAAAGCAGCTACTGTGTTGAAAGCAGCAGTATTGGAGGTAAAACGACACTTCATGAATTATAATTACTGGGTAAATAATTTTATAGTTGGGGGTCACCACAACATGAGGAAATGTATTAAAGGGTCGTGGCATTAGGAAGGTTGAGAACCACTGCCTTAGAGGCTATGGGGGATTAACATAGAATAATATCGAAACATATTTTATTCTTCCTTTATAGGGATTACGATCTCCAGAAATGAACAGGAAAATGCATAGCAGAAGGGGTCAGGGATTGGATGGGGGGGGGGGGGGGGGGAATGGGTGGTATATAGGTAGGGGGAGGGATAAAACGATAAAAAAATGAAAAAAATATATATTATGTTAAAAAAAATCAGAAGAATATATTTAAAAAAATATATATTTTTAAGAATATGTTCTTCAGATTTATTTTAAAATATAAAAAAGCAATTTTAACATATATTGTTACATATGTTTGTAAATGCATTCCAAAAATGTAGATCTGTTTTTTTTTTAAGACATCCAGTATATTTGAAAATGTATTTTAAAAATATTTTTCATATATTTTGTAATAAAAACGCATTTCAACATACAAGGTATATATATATCTATATCTATATATATATATTTATTGAAATATATTGAATATGGCCAAAATTGTAGTATTTCAAATATATGCCAATATATTTGGGAAGAATATTGTTAAAATATATTTCAAATATATTTTTCTTCCATGTGGGTGGGGTCTTAAAGAGGAGCTTCGGCACGTTTTCCTTAGCAGGATTTTCAAACCTGACACTCCAGCTCTATAAATGGTAGAGACGCCCATCATGTGAACCATAAGTCTCAAAGACATGAAGCAACCCGGACTGGAAAGAGATGGCAGTGCAGCCCTCCTAAGATCGGGGAAATCCAACACTGCACAAAACGCAAACAGAGAGGGCTTTGCCTAGTGCATTATCTTCAACACTTTATTCAAGGGTATAGGAAAACATATTATGCTCACAAGCAGGGGCGGACTGACAACTCATGGGGCCCCCAGGCAATAGGGGATCATGGGGCCCCTGTGTCCTTGCCCAAAGTAAAAAAAAGCCTATGAAAAAGGTACCAGGGGCATCTCATGGGGCCCCCTACTGACCCCGGGCCCTCAGGCAGTGCCCGAGTTTCCAACTGGTCAGTCCACCCCTGCTCACAAGCCAAGTGAGCTAAAGGCACGTAGTTGCACAAAGCAAAAATTCCGAAGATCCTCTCTCCAACTCCAACAGGAGAAAGGATGGCAATGGCAGCTGACAAGTTTCAGAGGCTAACACCCTTTCTTCAAGCCATAGCTATGACTTGAAGAAAAGGGGTTAGCCCCCCGAAACTCGTCAAATGGTATTGTCATCCTGTCTCCAATTGGAGAGTGGATCATTGGAATTTGTGCATCTACATGCATTTAATTTACATGCTCAATTGGCTTGTGAGTATAAAACATTTTCTTGCACCCTGTTTTCCATAGCTCCGCCCCCCCTCCTGTGCCATCTGCAGACATACAGATGGGCTCTGCCCAGCCGTTGGTTCCTGGCAGAGCCCCTTGGCACATCTACACAACTGTAGGATATTTCCCATGTGCACACAATGACTTCAGACTTCCTTACTACCCTAAAATGTGCATGTGCATGGAAACCCTGCACATGCACAGGTGTATGGGGAAACCAGTTGGGACCCGAAGTCCTGTGGCACATCTGAGCATGAGCAGAATTCAGGGGGTGGGTGGGAGCAATACAATAAATGTTTGAAAATATAAAATTAATAAGTGGATCCAATGTAAAGAGAGAGAGGGGGGAGGAGGCAGGGCATGAGAAGATTGAGTTTAGGGTGAAGGTTCACTTTAGACTAGGTTCACATTACTGCATGTCAGGACTATGCGCAAATATGTGGACTGTGCCAACAGGCAGAGAAATGTACTGCAATTTAGCAGATGCACGGCGATGCCATTAATTGGTAATGGCACCCCACTGGCACACCCCACTGGCCCCCACACCCCCACTGGCACCCCACTGGCACCCCCATTGACCCCCATTGGCACCCCCACTGGCACCCCACTACCCCCACTGGCACCCCACTGGCACCCCACTGACACATTGGCCCCACGCGCATTTGGCACCCCCACTTTTACGCGTTTCTCACCCCCATTGAATTCTGACACCCTGTGCATTGGCACCCCCACTGGCACCCCCACTGACACCCCCATGGCACCCCCACCCCCACTGACACCCTCATGACACCCTGGCACCCCCACTGGCACCCCCACTGACCCCCACTGACACCATTGGCACCCCCCACTGACACCCCATTAGCACCCCCACTGACACCCCCCATTTAGCACCCCCACTGGCACCCCCATGCATTTGAATAAGCTTGACAGTTCAGTGCGGTGCATTTTTGGAAAAGAGTGTAGGACTTCTTTTACGCGTTTCTCCAACATAGGCCAGCCCATTGAATTCTATGCGGCACGTAGAAACGCGCCTGTGCTTGGTCGCTCCTGTTGGTGTGAACCTTTAAGTGGAGCTCCAGTCAAAATGTGAAAAAATGAAATTGTAGCTGCTGACTTTTAAAAAACATCCACTCACCTG